TTAAGGTATAATTGAAAAAAAAACATAAACTTGATCCTTTGGAAAATTTATAACTCAACAAGATTAAGTTCGAGATCAAGAAATATAGAAAAGAAATATATATATATGTACTACTATATATATATAAATGAAAGTGTTGAAGATGTGATGACTTTTACTAAGCAACACCAGACTTGCATTCATCGAAATATTGATAAAAGTGAACATCGGAAAATAATTAATTTGCTAAATCAAAAATCTGTACACTGTAGTGTAATTTATCACTTAATTTAATTTCTACCAATTCATACTGCTATTACACTTCTTGTCTTTCTTTCTTTCTTTTCGCAAATTTGATGCGGAATTGTGAATGGCATTGCCTAAGTCTTTTCTGCTAGGACATGCCAAACTTTAAACTTGCTGATTGGAACTTTTGTGCTGTCTAAAGTGATGGTTCTGTTATAGACTATTGAAAAAATTCAGATTTATTTCTGTACATATATCAGAAGATATATATCAGATGAAACCTCATTAGGCACATAATACTATATAATACTTAAGCTTTAATCAAAGAAATTCTCTAAACTTTAAAATAATTATAAACTTGAAATAAAGAACAAACTTTTTGCGTGCAGTTTTGAAGATATTTGCAAATGGAACTTTACAAAATCACGATACTACTATATTTATTTGCATTATTTATAATTATTAATTAATTTACAAATTTTACAGTAGAATTCTTGAATAACCTTTTATCTTCTGTTATTATTTAACAAATTTAGTGGATTAATTGCTTAACCATCCAAAGTTTGCATCATTATTATAACATAACAATATACAGTATCCTGCTTATAGAACAGTTTTATAAATTTAAATTATCACCAAATTTGTAAGTTAAATAAACTATATCTAAATGCTAACAGACAAGTACTAAGAGTCAGGCTAGGCGGTATAATGCATACAGTGTGACCAGATTCTATAAAACCTTAACTTTTTTCCTGCAAATTTGAAATTAGTATTGTGTTTTTTTTACGTTGAAACATATTGAATTAAAAACGGACTATTCCAAACTCAAAAGCAGGGCAAGTTCATTATATAAATTCAGTAGGGTACAAGTTGATCTTGAGATTAAAGAAGTTCGCTTGTTAAATTTATAAAGTTAACAATTAAACAAACTCACTTAGTTATCTATGAAATATTTTAGATTTGGAAATTTAAGGAAAGAAAAAACACCAAACAAAACAAAACAAACATAAATCTATCCAAATTGTAATTGTTAACCTTAATTCACTTGAAATCTGAAATTTCACTTTTTTCTTTAACTCTATTTTATGAGATAATTTTCAAGGTTATTTGATATCACAAGAGGGTGTGATTAAATATGTTAAATTTGACTAATTCACCTGACCTGTCCTAATAAAAGGTAGCAACTTCTAGGATACAATTACACAAGGCAATCATTAAGTGAAAATCTGTTTCCGATTGATATCTTTTTAATTTACAAAAATTGGTCATTTTCATGAATTTAAACTATTTTAAAATATTTCCTATTGTATTCAGCTAATTACTCAAAGGTTTCTCTTTTTGGAATCTTTGACTGAGTTTTTCTTTTCTGCCGAGCTCGGGTTTAATGGTAAATGTAACTTTTCAGGATATGACTTGCATATTTTTATTACGTAGCGCAAAACTTGAATTTTTTATTCCATGTGAAGCACACAACTTGCATATTTTTATTCCATAATTATGTAGCGAACATTAAAAAGTGGCGTATTTTTGATATTTCATAATTATGAAGTGAACAAATGGTATATTTTTATTATTCCATATGTAGCCAACAACTGGAATATTTTTATTATTCCATATGTAGCGAACAAGAGGAATTTTTTAATTGGTCCATATGTAGCGAACAACCGGAATATTTTTATTATTCCATATGCAGCGACAACAGAAATTACTGTACATTGAAATTATTGACATTCAGTAATAGTGTTTTTAGAAAAAAATCAAATCAAATTTGAATATGATGCCTAGTTGTTTTAATATGGTTTTTAATTAATGTTAAATTGCCAAAAATAAACAATCAGTCTGTTATGGCAATTGACACTTACGGTAAATAATTATGAATCCTTAAGGCATTAAATTCGATCTTTAAGAAAAAGGTATGACATTCCATTCTGCACTTGCTATCTTTGGGTATGCATTTTTGTTCAGATTTAATAAGTTTTAATAAAAGTTTTGACATCTTCAAATTTGATTGAAAATGCAATAATTTGACGTAATAAATGAAGTCTTTGAGAATTAATACTGTTTTTTCTTGTCAGACCATTTCATTATATACTTTCTTTTTCGGGAAATTGCAACGATTTTGTTATTAGATTTCTATTGATACGTCGTGTTGCATAGTTTCTGTGCGACATTTAGTAGATTAATAAATGTCATTGAACAATTTTGTACCGATTTTAAGAACCCTGGAGAGATTAAATTAGATAATGTTACGGTCGAAAAACAAAAACTTTCATTTCATGTTAAAACTAGTAAACTGTTTATATCAAACTTAAGTTCACTATCATCGTGTTTAATAGATACAGTCGCCTGATTTAGTTTCTGACTCCACACTGAAGAGGCTTTTCACTGATTATTATCAAAATATTGAAGCAATCATCTTTGAGTCTTTGTAGTTTAAGCTCATTTTGCGTGTACTTGAACTTTCGAATATTGCCGATGAACGTCATTGACGGCACTTTCTGTTGACTTTCGATGACTCTGCTATCTTCGAAGATGATTTTTTTCCAAGGTAGACATAGTGAAAACCCAACAAAGTTTTGATAAAAAGTGCGAAATTGTTGATAACAGTTTGACCACTTGTAAGTTACTATCTGTAATATTTGTTGTTTGAGCAAGCTTTCTCATGAAGTTGTGATACCTTTAGTCCCAAGTTTATGTCTATCGTGGAACATGGGGTACACGATGTAGCGCTGTATTTAACAGTTGAAGTAGAAAGAGTGAATAAAGTTAGTATTTTAGTCCTTGGAGATATTAAAAAATAATTAGTCCTTTTCATACTATCATTAAAAATATTAAATCAAAGATTGATGATAGTAAATTAAGCCCCAAATTTGAAAGTAAAACTGAAAAGGTGTGTTTCCTTACTTGTATAAACTTTTGTCTCTTAGCGGAGAATCTAAAGGGACATAACTCTAACATAAATGTTGAAATGTAATTTTGCTTTCTTATACTCCAAACTATTCTGGAGAATAAGTGATGTCAAAGCTTTGTTACTTAGTAAATTATGCAGTATTTTCCTTTTTGCAAAAATTAACTAAAATAAATTGAGCTTACTATTCACAGTGGTTAATAAGATAATATAATTATTATTCAAACTTACTGATGGTTAAGCTGCAATTCAGACAGTCAACCCTGCGACACCAGTATTTTTAACTGCCAGGGCAGCCTACAATTCCCCCAAATTCAAAGCAACCTACATGTAGCTTGTGTGTTACAGTGTAAAACTGATTAGCATAACTCAAAATGCCCCCACACTGCTTTAGGTTCGAATCCCACCATGGAAGTTTGGAGGGAAGCCATTGCTAGCTAGATTTTTTGGGGGTAAATACCTGCTAATGACTGAAATAATGTAACATGGAGGGTCACCTGAGGTCATCATGAACCAGTAAAATTCACAGATCTAGTGAAAAATTTGCAATAATTATGACCTGCAAAGTGTTGACCCCATTTAAACCCGACCAAATTAAAAAAATGTCTGTCCCACAAATTATTCGAAAAATTTGCAGTGACACAAAACCTAACGAGATAAAAAAAATGGGTTTCACAAATTTAGCGAAAAAATTGCAATAATTATGACCTGTATTAAGTGTTGATCCCAAAACCTAACCAAATAAAGAAAAATGTCAGTTTCACAAATTTTAGCATGTTAAATTTTGTTGAAACTGTTGGCACATTGATGTACACACGGAAATATTTACTTTATATGAAGCCGTCTTTATAATAGCAAACGGATATGACAGAGATTTGCAAAAATGGAAGTCAAAAGAAAAGTGTTAAAATAGTGAATTGAAAGTACATAAAATGTGATTGCTTGATTTTCAAAGAGAAATTTTATTTTGACAGATTCAGTTCAGCATTGTTAATATTTAAGGAAATGAATATTTAGATAATTAAATGAATTTTAAAGAAATTATGAAAAAAAAATTTTTTCTGAATTGCTTTCTGACTTTTTGTTGTCAAAACAGGAAGGGGGAAAAAACTTAATAAGTTTGGGATGAGAAAAATATAATTAGTCTTCATTTATTGAAATGTTATTTGGATGTATTCATTCCAATAATTTCAATGTACTTTAAACGACTAAGTTTTACGTTACACGTTTCATGACGGCTCAGAAGTCGCACATAAATTTTAATTCTGCCATACATTTGAAACTCTATACCAAAATAATTTCAACTTTATATTCTGTGTTTAAAATTAACAACTGAACAGTTATTTAAATACCAGTCAGATGTTGAATTGTTTTTGCTTATTTTGTAAGTAGAAAATAAACTATAATTTATGTAATATATAACCTAAAATTGTGAGGGGAGTGGTGGCAGGCCCAGTCAGGTTAAGGTGTCTGCCTCTCAACTCAGGGATCATAGGTTTGAGCCTACTTTATAGTGTTTCCTAAATGTTTAATGTACATACATGATGGGGTGGTCTTAAGAATTGTTTAAATAATCAAGAATTTTCCTTCAAGAATTAAAATGTACAAAAATGTTTTCACTAAATTTTTTATTGTGAAATAGTCTTGTTTATTTGAATTATATTTACTGTCAATATATTAATGGTTAAAAAATATAATCTTGATATAAAAGGAAGCTGTTGAAATTCAGTCATTGTGTATGAAATAATTCAAATATGATATAAATGTGGTGTTTTGTTAATGCTTTAAATAAGACAGCTTTGAGTTAATTAATATTTTATCTTTTAAACAATTATCTTATACTTGGACTTGTCTTGTGTATTTTCAGACAGCCTCGAGGATGGCTGGGACATGACGCAACTGAAAGAGGAGGAATTTGAAGAATTCTGCGTCTACATTGTACATGACCGAGCCTGCGAGAAAGTATGTCGGAATCGTGCCCAGGCCTCCTTGCCAAGGAACCTCACTCTGAAGCCCTCACTTACCCAACCAGATCATGTATGTTAAACTTTTTATTATTTATATACTTTTTTCTTTTCTGGCATTATTATCTCATTTCAAGGTTGTAGTCTTTTCTGACATTATCATGATAATTGGGTTTATTAAGGTCACTTGGTATCTAAAACACAACATTCACATAATTTATCTACTATGAGTATTGGATTAAAACAAAATGTGAGTAAAATTCATCGAAATTATACATGTTCGGGTTTATCTCCGAGATGGAAAACTAAAAGATGAAGACCGATAAAAATTGAGTTATCTCAAGTTATGATAGAGTGATATTATCACGATTTTTTGACCCATTACCAGCTCAGATATTGCATAAACCATAGAGTTTTATACAACACAACTTAAATCCAACACAACTTAAATCTGTTATGATATCTGTGTAAAAAAATGTTCGGGTATTTTAGTGTTTTAACTCCCTGAATTGAGAGTATACTGGCAAGTAGTGGTAATCTTTTATCACTTGCCGCCAGTGGCTGCTTCACTTTTATTTTGTGCGATATCTTGTTTCTGGTGAGATTTATGCCTCATTTAATGTGACATAAAAATATTCCCGCTACCTTTTGCCTGAGGGAGGTCTTGTTTCTACAAGTAGTTATTGCCCCATCAGACTTTGATAGAATCCTCCGATGAAAATGTTTTTTTCTAGGTGAAACATTAAAATTTTGGTTTTTAAAACATTATGATTGTGAGATTAAAATTAGATAGGATTTGTTTCTTCGTTATTCAAGATGAACTTTCTGCAAAAGTTTAAGTAGCTGTAGAGGCAATTTTAGCATTTTTTTAATACCTGTACTTGAAAAAAATTCCATTTAGCAAACATCATCTCTTCAATTTCTTGAATTGCAATTTCTGAAGAAAAAAAAATCAAAACACTGAAGAAAAAAATCAAAACAGGCAATGATAATTTATAATTTTTACTAATTTCATTCTTTTTCAAAGTGAAATCTTTAGAAAAATACAACTGTTCAAGTATATCTTAACAATATTTCCATTATAAACTATATGACACGATTATTACTCTGTAACTGACAATTAGGTGGCAATGGAAACAAATTTCCCTGAAATTTTCACTATCTTTGTACATATTTATTATCAAGACATAACTTTCTGGCTTCAAATTTGATGGTTTTATATCAATGAAAATTTGGTTTTATCAACATTGATAAGTTTATATATATTGCCGTAGAAAGTTATCAGAGTCTCCTTCTTCATCATGATTTTGTTGTTTTTGATGATGATGATGATGATGATGTTTATATCAAATTATCATTTATGTTTATGTATATGATAGGATGATTATAATGATTATTATTCTGTTGTTAAAGATAATGATGATGATGTATTGTAATAGTATTGGTAAAGATGATGATGATAATTATGATGATGGTGGTAATGATAATTATGATTATGTTGATTTTTATAGTTTTGGTCATGATGATAATGATACTGATGATGTTCTGATAATTATGATGATGATAATTATGATGATTATAATGATGATGACTATTAAAATAATAATTTAAAGGCACACATTGTCAAAATTTGATTGATTTTGCTAGACTAATTTGGATAATTTGACAAAAATAGTTATCATATTAAATTGCTGATGAAAATGATGATGATCTCCAATTTTAACATATTTCTACTTAACTGTATATAAACTTATAAACTTCATGTATAAGAAATTTTTTAATTCCTGGATTATTGCTACATTAAAGATTAAAGAGGAAAGGATAGTACGAAATAGATTGATCTTATCTACGGAGTTTATATACACTGATGATAGTTCGGAGAGATTTGAGCTATCAGAGAGCAAGAGATAAGATCTGTAGAGGTTGTAGTCAGGTATCTTGTACAACTCAGCTTGGTCGGGTTCCTCTCTTATCAAGCCATGGAGAAGGGGGGAAATAGCCCGCTGATTGATTTATCCTTACTTTCTTCCATGCTGGGTTACAGAAAAATATATTGTCCGTCTGTCGCCATGGAATCAGCACATCAACTTTTGTCTCCTCCCCCCCCTCCCACATCTTCATCTTGCCTTTGCCTCCAGCTAGAAACTGGCATGGCGGGTATAAACTCTTGTTTATTTTTATCAAAATATTTTTTTTATTAATTTTTTTTTTTTTGCATAGTGTTTAGGGTTTTCCACACTTTTTTGTTTTTCATATTTTGGCCACTAATCTTTGCAATAGAATAAGTTTTTCTTTGTATTTCAGTGTTAAACATTTCATTAAATACTTATGTGATGCTATTATGTCTGCTTAAATGATCGAGTGGCTTTATACAGCTTTTAAAATGGTTTCAAAATGTAAAATGTATCATCTCAAATATCATTCTTTCTCTACAGAACGATCATAAAATAGCTGTTTTAAATTTGATTCTAAAGTTTTGTCATTTGGGTGGTAAAAGTGAAAACAAATTAGCCGTGTCATGACAAAACCAACATAGTGCGTTTGCAATCCAGCATGGATCCAGACCAGCCTGCGCATCTGCGCAGTCTGATCTGGATCCATGCTGTTCGCTATCAGTTTCTCTACTTGTTCTAGGGTCTGTAAGCGAACAGCATGGATCCTGATCAGACTGCGTGGATGCGCAGGCTGGTCTGGATCCATGCTGGTCGCAAACGCACTATGTTGGTTTTGTCATGACACGGCTCAAATTGTGAAGATACTGTGCTAAAGGCAGAATTTATTTTACCTGCTGTGTGGGTAATGATACAAAATTCACTAAATAATTTGCGATTTTACATTGGGGCTTGGCTTTAGTACAATGAAAGCGTATTTCACAGTGGACAACTTGACTTAAATTTAGGATGTGTTTATTTGAGAACATTATTTGAATGTTAGGTAACACTGTTACTGAGGGGGGGGGGGGGGGTGGAGGGGGTAAATAGAAACTTGCAGCTAAAACTTTTGTATTAATTTACCTCCTGTATTTGAAGAGTGTCAATTTTTTGTGAAATTTGCAGGATCAAGCTCAATTATCACTTGAAAACTGCCGTAGGATAAAAAAAATTGCATTTTTTGTCACTTGTTTCTATTTATTTAAATATTGAAAGCCTGATAAGATGTTAGAAAAATAACAAAAAGGCATTAAATCAATAGATGTTCGGGACGATATTCAAATTTTTTTCACATTCATTTTTCCACGTATTTTGTTTCACCTGGCCTCCTAATTCGGCTCCTGTTGATTCTGTAAGGACGCAGCAAACTATTCCTGGCTGCATCTTATCAGTGCACAAATCTGCATAAATTTTCAGCGGCGGAGATCAAATTTCTGCGTTTAATTTAATGATTTTGACACCTTAATGCCCTATCTTTGTGCTTTCACTTTTGTAGCACAGGATATTTAGCAAATCTTGTTGACAGTATGTAATTTTCTCAATTTCTTTCAATTTAATTCTGATATATACGTCTTCGTTTTCCCATGGTCACTATAAAGGGGCGTTTTGTCGCCGAAGAGGTTTCAGTCGAATTTTGAGGTTAGTCATTTTAAAATAATTACAGGGAGCTTGGAAATAGATTGATATGTGGTTATAGAAATGCTTTGAATTTGCAAAGTGCAAGTTGATTCAGTTTCAAAAAGGCGGAAAAGATAAATAATACTCTTCTCACTTAATCCTTTACTTGCATTTTTAACGTGTGTTTGTATAAGTTGATCCCGAGGGTTCTTTATGGAAGACGAAAGAAAAGACGTCTGTTTAGATTTGAGGATAAAAAGAGTTTGTGTAACTGTCTTTTAAGGACAAGGTTTTTGCATGTCCTCTCTTGAAAATTAATCTTAAATTATACACATTGATTGTTGATTGCCACCACAGAAAAATGTCATAGTGCCTTTTGGCTTAAAAATGATAATTGAGTACCTATTAAGTTAATTTTGTAAAGTAGTATAATGTCAACATCCAAATATGAGGATTTGAAACTGCATTGAAGTATAAGGAACCAAATTGTGTTTGGTTTTCACTGCGATTTTAAACATACAAATTGTGGTTTATTTCGTCATTTAGAATATTTTAGATGAAAGTCAGTGAAACCTATTATGCTAAATACTTTCACTGCATTTTTATATGTATTTTTCTCACAGTTTCTAAAGTTTAGCTCCAAAGCTGGAAGTTCAATATTTTAAAGACAAAGTTTCGTTTTCAATTATTTTCTGTCCAGACAACTTGAAAAATACATTGTAATGCCCTAAAAGTTATGTTCTGAAAGTGGTTTTCCTAAAATTGTTGATCTATTTTTTGGTTTCAGATTTTTCTTTCAATTCAGCTTCCTGCGTGATTTTTCTTTCATTTTGCAGAAGACAGCTTCCTGCATGCAAACCTTCATTGTGTCTTTTTTTTTACAAGTTACTGAGCCTTTTAAAAAGCAAAACAAGGAAATTATTTCACCTGCTACCCAATGAAAAAAAAAAAAAAAAAAAAAAAAAAAAAAAAATAACGAAAAAAAATTGAAAAAATAAGGAAAAAAAAAGAAAAGAAAACACATTGGTCTGAAATGGCCATTAAACTTGAAAATCTTTTTTTATTTTCTTGACTAAAAAATAAAATAATTGTAGCAACATGCATAGAATTAGTGCAGTGCACTCGGCGAAATGTTATTTCATGATAAGAGAGAGGACCCTGTTTAAGACGAGTCGAGTTGTTACCTCCTGTAACGTTAGTTAATGATCATTACTCCGTATTACAAGTGAAATTTACACGATAAAATACATGATTGATATGTTTTACGTTCTTTTAGTCAAGAGGCGTACACTTATGATGAAGATCTAACGACTGTTAAACTAAACTTTTCTTTCATTTCCATAATCAGCTTGTATATATTTATATGGCTACTGGAGGGGAGGTTTTAAAAATGTTTTCTTTTACGATGATAAATAAACTTAACCCCTAGGTTATAACCACTTGATTGTGTTATTTCAAGCTATCTTCACGTTCTGCCAAATTGCATTTTATACTGGTGCAAGTGATTTGAATTTATTGAACCAAT